CTCCAGCTCTCACCCTTGACTTTGCCGAAGGTGCCGACGCCCAGCGTGTCCCCCAGGATGTAGTGCCCGATCTTCACCCGCCCGTGTTCATGTTTCTGTTTATCCGCCGCCGCCATCTTGAGCCAGGAGCCGAGTCTGCGCATTGCGATAGCCCAGAGAGGGCGGCTCGGGGGAGGAGCAAACATACAGCGCCCTCCCGCACCGAACCCGGAAGCGGACCCACCGCCTGACCAGCCACTTATCGCCTTCCGCACGGGCAAACCACGTGTCTTTCCGGGGTGGGTGTGGAATCATCTAACTGCACCTAGCGGGGGCGCGCGGCGCATGGGGGAGGAGGAGGCTGCTGCAGGTGTCCGGGGCCGGGATTGTGCCTCGCAGCCCTGGGAGCTGGATGGGTTTCTAGAGATGGGAGATGTAAGGGGGCACAGATGGGGGGCGGGGAGAGGTGAGAATGCAAGGAGGGGTGCATGGGGGCGACAGAGGTTGGCTAGGTAGTGGCGAAGTGAGCCACTCCGTAGGGAAATGCTGGGAAAAGACGAGGCAAGGCCGGGAAGGCAGGCTAAGGATGTAAACGGTTAACCTATAAGCCTCACCCATTCGTTTACCGGTTCCCTGGAACAGCTCCCCGCTTGTCCTGCCACAGGTTACATACTGGCTCCTCTGGAGCCGCAATGAAGCCTGCTCTGGGGTAGGACCGGCTGCAGCTGCTAGTCCTGCTCCCAGGGAGCCAGATATAGTGCAGATCACAGCGTGACAGTTGGTTGCCTGGGAGCAGGGCCAGCAGCCCCATGCCTCCACTCCCAGGGAGACTTCTTTGTGGGTCGGCAGTATCCAGCTTCCCAGGAGCAGGATCCACAGGGGTTGTCAGCCTTGCTCCTGGGGAAGCTTTGCTGTAAGGTCTGCAGGATTTTTAGTGGTTACATTTTTACACAACTTTTTACATCTCTATTCTAAGCTGATATCCAAAATAAAGAGCCTATCCACCACCTACCCCATCTGGGTAAGATGGGGGGATGTCAGGGAAATGGAAAGGGGGGGTGTGCTCTCTTAGGCAACTACTCTTCCTTGTTACCTTGCAAAGATGAGTGACTTAGAAAAGGAGGCAGTCACTGGAAGGACTGGGGTGAAGAATGCAGGGTGTTAAGCTGTGATATTAAGCTTGATGAAATTGCTCCTGACAATTAGTCCAATTGCTCAGTCCAATTAGTGTGATCTGCTCTGCCAGCTGGCAGTTCCTTCAGGAAATCAGCATCTCCAGTGAGTTAACAAGCTCCCACTACATATTCCCAGTTTTCAAGGCCACCTGGTGTCCATAGTAATGCCAGAATGGGGAAATGAACGTACAATATTGTGTAATTACAATAAAATTGCTGTGGGAGAATTCACCATTTTCAGATTTTAATAAAATGTTACCACTGTTAGTTCAGTGCTGAGTATCATTAGACTGCCACCAGAATGGGATTTCCTATGGCCTGGTCAGTCATCCAGTTTTGCAGAGAAGGAATCTGCCTTTGCAAATAGCAAAGTGACGTTAAAAGTTAAGTTTTAGTGTTTGGGGTTAGGCTTCTTCTGGAGAATATCTGTATGTTTCTACATAAGAATGACAATACTGGGTCAGATCAAAGATCCATCTAGCACAGTATCCTGTCTTCCAGCAGTGGCCAATGCTAGATGCCCCAGAGGGAGTGAACAGAACAGGTAATCATCATGTAATCCCTTTCCTGTCATCCATTTCTAGCCTTTGACAAACAGAGGCTAGGGACATCATTCCTACCCATCCTGGGTAATAGCCATTGATTGGCGCCCCCATAGGTTGGCACCCCGGGCAGTTGCAATCACTAGCCCCATTTAAGTCAGTTCTTCTGATATTAATAAAATGCAATGTTTACCCCATTTCCACCCATATGACAGCACTTTTAATGAGCAATGACAATCCAGAAATTTAATTACTAAAACACATATCAACAGAAGACCATTATATTGACCATTATATTGACTCGCCGCTGTGGAGCATGTTCCCAGTGGAGGCTGTGTTCCAAGGATCCCATTGTGGGCTGCGTATTGAACCCCATGTAAACCTAAGACGCACCACGGGTTGCACACAAACGCATGCAGCCCAGAGGCTGCGTGTTGAGTTGCCCTTGTCTACATTGTTGCGCATAGCACAAAATAAGCTACACAATTTGCGTAGCTTATTTCAAGATAACCTATTTTGAAATTTAATTTTGAAATAGAACTCTATTCCAGCATCTTCCTTATCCCTCATGCAATGAGATTTAAAGGAAGCTGGAATAAGACACCCATTATTTCGAAATAACAGGCGTGCTGTTAAGATGCAGAGAACGCTATTTTGGGATAACGGACATTATCCTGAAATAATGTTGCTGTGTAGACATAGCCTGGGATTTCTCATTTTAGAAAGACGAGATTAAGGGTACATCTAGACTGTAGAGTTTTTCCAGGATACTGGAGGACAAGGAATGTGTCCGCTTTTTTGGAACAGTTTCCGAAAAAGCAGACGTGTTCTTTTGGCATCCTTGTATTCCTCTCAGTTCTGAAAGAGGAGTTTTTTCTGAAATTTGGCCCCTCAGTAATTTGTGTATCTTTTCCCGACTTTTCTCAGCCATGTAGACATAGCCCCAGTCTTTTTAATCTCTCTTCATATGGGACCCATTCCAAACCCCTAGTAATTTGTATTCCACCTTCAGACACAAAAGTATTTTCTCCCTGTGGTCAGAATCAAGTCTAAAATGTCTGTCTGGCTGGTTACTTCCTCCGCTTTCTGAAACAAAATGGCTTCTGAATACATGCCAAGCACTTACTCTAAATATTGTTCTTTTGCCATATTACTTTTCCAACAGATGTATGAGTAGCTGAAGCCCCCCCATCATTACTAGCTCTTCTGCTCTGGATATTGTTCTAGAAACGCCTCCTCCACTTCCTCTCCCTGATTTTAAGGTCTGAAAGAAGACCTCTTACCATGGCATCACCAATGTTCCCTCTAATTTTCTTCATCCATATACACAATAAATTCTGTTACATGCAGAAGCATGTGTGAATGTGCACCACCAGTAGGAACTCATGCTGCTGGCTGTAGGTGCTCTGCTAGTCATGTGGGTGGCATCTGAATCTCTCCTGTGTGGCTGCCTAAGTGCTCAGCTAACAGGGAACAGTGGGCATAACCTCTATTTCCCCCCCTTTTATCTTTACCTAAAGACTTACCTAGTTTGCTTTTCACCTTCTGGACCTGAGATCAACTACACCTTCTCCTTATGCCTGTAATTCCTGAACAAGCTGCATCTCTAGATGCTAGTGGTTTATAACCTATTAGCATAGTGGGTTATATATTATGCAGCCCACAATATGTTCAATGCTATCTAAATAGCCCTGAGGATGTCACAGCACAGCTTTGTGTTGATTGGGCTGAAGATTGAGAATCATTGCTGTTTATAGAGCCCTGAATGGATAAAAAATTTGTATCTGTATTGGCATCCATATCTGCAAAAATGAGCCGTAGATATCTGTATCAAAAGATACTCACGGCTATAAAGTAGATATCCACAAATTTGTGGGGTTCTAGAAACAAAATTGGTATCCACATTCATATATGCAAAAACGAGCTGCAGACATCTGCATCTACATCTGTGGATGCAGAGATCTATGGATTTGCACCACTATCTCTGTGATAAGTACTAATATTTCCAGTTCTTCCAGTCTCTCATATGTGTGTGTAGACACTTGAAGTGATTTCCCTGTTTGCTCCTATGGCCCTAATGTAATTTTTCTTATTCCCCCCATCCCACCTAGACTTCTGCTAATGTAACTTTTATGCTTACCTGTGGGATTTTGTCACTTACTCCCTTTGAACCTAGTTTACAGTCCTCCTCCCTAGGCTGGCTAGTCACTGTGCAAAAATGCTGTTCCCCATCTTATCCCAACAGGCCTTTCTGAAATAGCATCCTATGATGGAAGAAGCAGAAATCTTCCCATTGATATCATCCATTCAGTCACGTTTAGGATGTGCATGTCTCTGACTGGGCCCTCATCTCTCAGCCAGGAACATAGAGTAACTATCAGGACCAATAAGCCTTAGCACCCTTTCTGTAGCTTCAGCTGAGGGCTCCATAGAAGCAGCACACCTGGGTCATCATGTCTGGTCACTTTTTTTGGGTCAGAGGCAGCACACTTGTTTCCCCTTCCTTCCTGGCAACGCAGAGGCGTAGCAAGGCGGAAGCAGAGGGGAACAGTTGCTCCCGGCCGGCACACTAAGGGGGTGCCAGACAGGGGTGATCCCACGTGACCTACAGCAGGGAGGGAAGCACTTCTCCTCCCCAAAGGAGCCAGTGCATGCTGCCTGAACAGCTGGGGCTGTGGCACCTGGTAACTTAGTTCCACGGCCTTTCTGAGCGGTGGTAGGGAGAGGCCAGGAGACCCGGAGCTGTGCAGATCCAACTGTGCAGGCAGTGCGCTCTGCCCTGGGACTCCCCGCACCCTTCCCCCCCTCCCCTGCAGGATGACATCATGGAAGTAAGTTGCTGGGGTGCAACAG